CTGAGCGTTGCCACAATATTTAGAAGGTCCAAGTTGACATCGTGTGCTCCCTGGAAATCCCGAGGAAGAATCTCCCAGCAGGTACAGTGGGTAGCAAGGGAGTCTGCGTGTTTGTGGAGTCTGTTCGGTGTATCAGCAATTTTGCGTGGCCTGGAACTTCCAACAACGCTTGCAAGCGGAGCCAGAGGATCCTATGGGACAAACCCGCGGTATTCGGCTCCCGCCAGCCCCGAAGCCTGCCAGGAAGGAAGTGGTATCTCCTCTGCACCTCTTGGCTCTCCCCCTGGGGCTGGGTGACAGCGTTCCCAGCAGCCCACCCATCCATTCACCTGCCCGACTTCCAGTCGAAAACTGTTCCCCGCAGCAGTCTCACCCCCCACCGCAGTCTTTCCAGGGACGAGTATAGGTTTTCACGAACACAAGCAGTTTTGTTTCTCTACGGAAAGACAGCTCTCCTGGACTGGAGAGGGCTTTGTGCTTCACTCCGAGGTCACTGAGCTGGGTGAGGTGCAGCGTGTCACCTGACCCGGCTCCCGGGCTGCTGGTGGCATCGGGCGGCATTCCTGAAATTCTTCCACCAGGCGCCGGCACCACAACGGACAACTTCAGGTTCACTGCGCTGAGCGCCTTCCGCAGGCTGTGCCCTCTCCACCGGCCGTGGCCCGAATCACCTGCCCAGCGTGAGCGCACACAGTTGAGCGACGCCAGCGCCGGGGCGCAGTAGCACACAGGTAAACCGAGGCCACCAGCGCCCTCTGTAACTCCCGGAAATGGGTTCAGTTTGGTCGCAGGCATTTCTAGTGGTGTGTGTGTGTGTGTGTGTGTGTGTGTGTGTGTGTGTGTGCTGCTTCTCACAGAAATCTGAGTTCCTCACCAGTATCTAGTTGAAACAAACCCAACAAAACCTAAAGCTAAAGAATCAGAAGGTGAGCGGAGATGAGGTTTGCTTAAAGATTTAGGGGAACAGGAATGAAACGTCGGGAACAGAAAGAAGTTTTACAAGCCATCTTGTATGTAAAAACAAACAAACAAAAAAACTTCTAAGATTTAGCGTCTGACCCACCTGGATATAAATCTTGGCTTTTTGTGTGGCTTCACCAATCCTGTTTCCGCTTCGTTAATGATATCTGCCTGCAATGTTGACTGAAGCTCTCTTGGAGGAAAAAACCATCTAGCAGAAGAGACTGATGCAGTTCGAGGATTTGTGTCTGCACACGTGTGTGCATGTGGGTCACGTGCGTGTGTATTTCTGCACAGATGCAGGTCAGTCAGAGGAGCAGGGCATTCATGGAAGGGAGGAGTTTCTCGGACCTTTGGGCTGGATTTGCTCTGGCTCTGTTGTTGAAGACTGGCAGGAAAACTCTGGCACCTCAGGAAGCTTGGATGGGAGCTGCTGGAGCACCGGTGATGCACTTGGAGTGCCCTGTTTCAGGAAAAGGAGGCCCGATGTGAAATGTGGGGGCTCTGTCAAGATAGGGGCTGGTGGGAAGGCAGACAGCTCAGTAATGGTTACCGTACACCATCGTGTCTGTACCTAGACAGAGCTGGGAGAGATCAGCAACATTTGATCCTAATACTTCAACCTATTTTGGGTGCCGCTGGTTGTATACACATCTGGACCATCAGCTTTTGGTCAGGTGGATTTTTTTGCCATGAAAATAATGTGACTCAGTACTTGGGGAAGTACTTGGGGTAGTAGTTCCTGAAATACTGGCAAACTCCCATTGAGCATCCACTGTTGTTGTGATAAGGGAAGAGAAGAGGGTGACCCTTGGCCTGCCCATCCCCGAGGATCATGGCAGAAACCCCGAGGCCAGAGAGCAGATTCAGAGGGGGAAGGCATACCAAGTTGACTTGGTCACAGGAGCTTTTGGATCATGGCAGAAACCCCGGGGCCAGAGAGCAGATTCAGAGGGGGAAGGCATACCAAGTTGACTTGGTCACAGGAGCTTTTGGATTGAGGATCCGAAGACACAGCTGCATGAACTGTGCATTTTGATGCTTAAGTTGGATGGAGACTGGATAGCTGTGTACAACTGGACAAAATGATTAAGATCTGACGATGATGGGTGAGCATGGAAACCCAGCCAAACCTGTCTGTTCAGATTCTTCTTGACCTCGTTGTATAGCATTCTTTCCTACCAGGTCAGAGACAGGAGCTATCCTGGAATCAGGGTCTTCAGATTCTTATCAGATGGGTTAGGTTCAAGAATTTCTTTATAGTCCAAACCAAAAGATGGAGAATGATTAATATTTACAGACATCATGACTTTGGGGGCAGGAAAAAGGATTCTTGTTTCTGTGACCCTTCTTGGCAAAGAGAAATCCTAGATTCTAGTGCTTCCCTTGAGGTTGCTTTGAAGAAAGCAAAACACTGGAAACCAGAGAAAGATCAGAGTAAAAGTTAGTTTCTGAGACTTAGTTTCTGTTGGAGTGTCATCTTACGAAAGGTACCTCTTACCAGCTGTAATCCTCCCAACAACCCAGTGGAGTAGCCTAGGTGTACCTTAACCCCTTTGCATTGTTCAAACCAAGGCTTGGGGAAGGAAAAACCTGGATGACAGGGCTGGGACTTGAAGCTCATCCTCAGATATGGTCCTTGGCACATGGGCATTGCAAGAAATCTGTACAAGTTTTTCTTTTCCGAAAAGATTCTGCATCGATGCCATTTCTTCCTTGAGGCCATGCTTTATCCTCTTCCTCTCCTTTCATTTTTGTTGCAGTCCTTTTGGTAGTACCCAAGAGACTTTTCTTTTAGTAATCCTCAAATAATAAAACGTCTACATCTCAGCTCTCCCCTGTCCAACTCCTGGATTTACACAAGTTTTTCCTATTTGTGTTGAGCAATTTGGTGCTTTTCTGTTTTGAACCCAGAGAAATGTTTTGCACGTAATGAGTGTGCACAAGCAACAGCTAGAGTTGGAAACCTGAGTATGGGCAGCATACCAGATGTCCTGGGGTCAGCCTTGCAAGAAGGAGTCCAAGAAAAGCCTTTGGGTGCTCCTGCTCTTCTCCTCCTAAGCGTGTTTCTGCTCCTTCTATGAGGACATACTCTGAGAAACCTGGAGCCACTGGATTTGCTCCAAGAAGTGCCAAGGGTCACCCAGCAGGTAGATCAGCCAATACGAACTCATTTTCACCAAGGTCCACATTCCACTGAGGTTGTCACTGCAAACTTCTGAGAAGGGCACGACTGTGTTAAGGCAAAATTTCAGGAAAACATCACCCTGCTTCTGTAGATGTCGTCATTTGCATTCCCACATTTTTCGTGGTGCAGACTGGATGGTCCACCAACTCAGCTCTCCCATCTTTTGGGAACACCCTTGTCACTCCTTCTTTCTTCTTCCTGATTGTCTTTTCTTTGTGACTCTTTCTACTTTCTGGTTGACTTAATCTCAAGGCATAGTTGGACAAGAATGCAGGGCCACTGCAAGAAGGAAGGGCAATTCATTCTCATTCTGTACCATCCTTCCTGCATCTTCATGTCCAGATAGCTAATATAATGCTAAGGGCCTTAACTCCTAGCAGTGCTTTCATGTCTTGCATGAAGTGAATATATCACTATTGTTACAAATTTGAAGCCATCCATCCGAATCTCAGTTCTCCAGTTTCTAAGTGCATGCCTCAAGTTCTTTATCTGCGAGTAAGGTTGACAGAGTCTTACATAATTAGCATAAGGGTTCAGTGAGTTAATATTTGCAAAGTCTCTGCCTGGCCAGTAGACAAGAGCACCTAAGATAATAGATAGTATAGAAGTTTCACACAGGTAACAATGTATTTATATAGCCCCTAACATAAGCTGTGAATTGCAACATTTGAAATATGGCAGATATCTTACTTAGTTGAGTGTCTGCTGGAAGATTTGGCTAGTGGTCAGAGACTGTGTTGTCTTGGTAATGTGTATCTAGACCTTTGCAATTGTAGTAGCATAGAAAGACACTTCTGCAATGATAGCTCAGAGAGGAGGTCTAACAACAGACTCCTCTCTCTCTCTTTTCACAGTGATTCCAGGGAACACAGTCAGAGGGAAATATGAGGCAGAACCATCTGTACTTCCATTTAATGATCCGTTTTTGGCTCTCACTACCTGAACATGTGGCTGCGTTTATCAGTTACCTGGCTGTAGGAATAACTCCCTCCAATGTGAACTGTGGAAGCAGGCACCCCACCGGTCTGACTTCTCGAGGCTGAACCTGCCACAGCTACTACAGGGACTTGGGGAAGCATTCACACCTCTCTTGCATTAGATGATGGCTGAGATCTCGACCAGTGTGAATGGTCTGTGATTTTATTACACCTTGAAAGGAACTGATGAGAATAATCAGATGCCTAATTTGTGTCATTGCTTTATCCTTTGAGGGATACAATACAGTGGAACTTCATTATTTCAACTGTGAGAACAGAGAGAGGGTCGCCTGATCTCAAAGCCCTTCCCCATGTTCAATGTCAGTGCTCCAGCTGAATCTCTTAGTAATGTTCGGTAGAGATTTCTCTGACTCCATAACCCTAGGCCAAGTCCTTGTCAAGAGTACATAGCAGTGGGTCAGTGCTGAGCACTCATTTTGAACCAAAGTTGGAAGAGGCATGAGGTAGGTGTCTACTGCCGACGCAGCAATGCCATCCAGCCAAGAGAGGAAGGTTGCAGAAGGAAGGGTACCAGTGATGGGTCTGTAAGATGGTTTCTGTGGTCTCTTTGTTCTCCCTGTCCATTTGATTTCCATGGGACTCTCAGGGAGTTTCATATCAGATAAGTTTGTTGTTTGTCCACTTGTTTGTGACATAGAAGAAAGATACACAAAGGAGAAACACAGGAAAAGCGTTAAGTGTGGTGTTTAATTCAGTCTCGAATGAAATTCCAGAGAAACCTTGGGAAATCAACTGCAGATTATCAAGCCACAGGGTGTTACGTCCTGCTGATGTTTCTAAGGGTTCACTTTGCCAGCTCACAAGCTCACGCTCTTGTGCCAGTGGCTACATTATGTCATTTGTTTCCTTTGCAGAGAATGCCAAAGACAACCTCAAAGTCTAGAAAAAAATGATCTTTCATGGGATATGAAGTGAATCTCCTGCTTCCTGTTTTTGTCTTACTGAGCCCCGATAATTGATCCTATGGCCCCAGGCTTGAGGAAAGTTGACTGACCAGGCTCAGCAACATGCATCAGCTATTCCGACTGGTTTTGGGACAAAAAGATCTTTCCCGAGCCGGGGATCTCTTCTCCTTGAATGACTCTGAGATTGAAGATAGCCTAACGGAAGCTTTGGAGCAAATTAAAATAATCAGCTCATCTTCGGTAAGCAAACTGGATTATAGACTAGATGCCTGAAATGAACTGTCCTTCAGGCGAGGTCCTGGGGAAAGCATCTTTGCTCGGGGGTGGGGGGAGGGTGCAAAGATTACTAATATCAGTCTGTCTCAACTCTGCTCTGAGGGGTAGTTGGTGGCTAAGAAATAATGGCAGCCAAGGCACTGGTTTAGAGAATAGCTAACCACCTTCTTTCTCGTTCAGTGGAGATGATAATTCTAGAAATTGTAGGACAAAATGGAATTTTCACAAAAGATTAATCCTGGGCTATTTTTACACTCTGTCAATGACATGGCAGGGAGAGGGAGCCAGTCTTGGGAAAGCAGGCCTGCAGAGCTGCAGAGCAGCCTCAGTAAGCAGAGAAGGCTGTGTGGGGAAGGCTGAATAATGAAAGAAGGCAGGACGACACCTCCTGCCATGCAGGTAATCTGAGACAAGGATGCTGTTCACTCAGCTGCCAGAAGTGACAGTTGCCCACGGCTTGATAACGCTGATTCTGTTTACGTGTGCCTTATCTCTATTTTTATCTTCCCTTTGCTTCTTTTTCTATCTCTGTCCCATTAAATTCAGCTCAGCAGTGATTAGTCCCTAGTACAATCAGACAGATGTTAAACCTGCATCAACCCTCCCATTCCTTTGCCGCTCCTCAATGTCAAGATTACACATTATGAAAGCTCTTCCCATAAGGGATAGATCTGGCCTGTCCAGTGCAACTTGATGTAACCTTCTTGATTGTGCTGAGACCTCCATTAAAACTTATTCTTCAAAAAGTGGGGTAACCAAACATCCTGTTACAGTCTCACAACTCAGCAGTGTTTGCCAGCACTTGGCACAGACACCCACTAGGAAGAGGAAAGAAGTGGGACTCAAGTCATAAAGTACTGAATTGGCAAATTCTACATATTTTAGAGATAACAGCACTCTTCCGTGTTATAATAAAGAGATATTTGAAAAGCACACTGGTAACCAGTGTGGTTTCTACCTCCAGCTTGTCAGCGTGTTCTCTGGGTGGAGGCCATGACCACGCACTCACGCCCCTGTGACTAGTGCAGTCACTGCCCCAAACACCCTTCTTTGCTCTTACAGGTAATGTTTTTGACAGCCATGACATGCCCATATTTTCTCCATAACATTAAACAACTTGGTATGACTGAAAACTCAAAGTAGTCCTGCTATGTTTCCATGGCTCTGGGTAGGATTTCGGAGCTGTTTCTAGCAGCTCATTCTCTCACACACATCTCTGGAAAGAACTTGACTCAATATGCTGCCAGTTTTTATCTCTGTAATAAAAAAGACCGTACAGTAAAAATGATCTACATTCCCTAAATCTTGCCTCCACCAGAGGTCACCAGTAGCCAGTGATTTCTTTGTTTCTGTCCTCTTTGCTTTGTCTCCCAGATGTCAATTCTGGAATTTGGAGAATGGTGAGTTCTGTTGAATGTCCTCCCTGATGTTGACTCTGACATGTCCCTTGTTAGTATTATCTGTTCTATAAGTGTCCCTTCAGCAGCCCACCCAACTAGCAGGTGTGAGGAGCAAGGATTTCATCTGTCTTCTTCATTGACTGGCTTCTTGTATTTCTTCCACTTCTCTAAATGAACCATGGCCTGGAGGACAAGAAAGATTGTGGGAATCAGTTCTGGCAGCTCCTTGTCTGTTTTTTTGTGAGCCACCATGCCTATCCTATGGCCTATTGCTATGTTCTTCTTCTTTATCTTGAATTATTTTAAGATCTGTTTTCATTTTATCTGAGTCAGAGTTATACAGAGAAATAGAGAAAGAGAGGGAGAGGGAGGGAGAGAGAGAGAGATGTAGATCTTCCATGTGCTGGTTTACCCCTCAAATATCCACAATGACCAGAGAGCTGGCTCAGTCTGAAGCTGGGAGCCAGGAGCTTTTGGGGGATTCCCATATCAATGCAAGGGCCCAAGGTTTTGGGGCATCCTCCACTGCTCTTCTAGGCTTTTTAGCAGGGATCAGAAGTGGAGCAGCTGGGACTCAGTGTCCAGATAAGATTCTGATACTGCAGGCAAAGGATTAGTCTAGCATGCCACCATGCTGGCCTCACTTTTAGTTATTTTTATTTGCTCTAGTTACCCAGGATTTTTCTGTTGCCTATGACCAAGAATTCCCTTATCGGAATTTAGATGATTGCTGTGAACATGGTTAGCAGGAATATGAACTCCTTGTGTTTGCAACTCGGTGTTCTTCTGACCTTCGCCCCAGCAATCAAGAGTCTAATTTTTATTTTTATAGTACAAACTAAACCTTTGAAGATAAGCTACAGGTCTTGTCTCTAGCTTCTTACTTCCCAGCTCGACATTCGTGTCCTTGGGTTTTTCCAGGAGCAACAAAGCATTTGTGTCGGGAAAAGGTTATATCAGCTAACATTGCAGCCCTTAATTCTCAAGCTTGGAAAATGCATTTGTTTGTTTGTTCACATAAAAAACATGCTGTTCAAACACAAGATTTGGAAGCACCAACTAGGCCAACTTACTGATTTATAATGAAAATGATAGCTCATACAGGCCAGAATTCTTGTGGGATTCATGCTGTCTTTCCCAAGTCTTTTTCTAGATACGGGATATTATCAATTAGGTTTATTCCTTCTAAACCTAATGTGGTTTATAGTCGAATTGTAGTCTCCTTTCTAGAGATTATCTGTAATTTACTCTAAAGTCATCTGTATGCAGATGGCATATTAGATCTGTAACTATCTAATCCAGCTTGTTCAAGTGGATGGAATTAGCTTGCGTCTCAGAGGGAAGTCTGGTTTCCAAGCTCTTGAGGAAGGTCCTCTTTGTAGCTCCAAGTGCTGCCACTATCCTCAACATTTTGGTTGCCGTCTCCTAGAATATGTCTTTTCGATTATTATAATTTATTGTTACTTGGTACTTGGATCACTTGCTTGAAAAAATTATTAGATGTACTCTGCTTCTCAACTTTCTGATTGTAAAGGCATGTGGTCTCTGTTTATCTTATGATGTGCTGAAATCCTCAGTTTGAAATCAAAATTGTGATTGGCAAACAATTTCATTTCTTTTTTCTTTTTTTAAGTAAGGGTATCCCACTATGGTGATCTTTGTCAATCAATAGGTCTTGGAAAGATTTTCTCAATCTGTCCCTAAGCTGAGCTTTGAAAACTATGACTTCTCACTGAAACTTCTTATTCAGGTCCTTTCTGGACTGCTTTTGCTGAGGCGTGAACTTGAATTCCCTCCTTTAGGATGGCAGGTGAGAGTTTGTCTTTATCCACTCATTCACTTCTTCCCCCTTTTCAGTGCTGTCAACCCAAGCCTATCTAGCCACACACCTCCCAGTTTGCCCTCATTTTTTAAAGCAACGGGACTCAGTAGGGACAGACAACTGCCCAATGTAAAAAGTTAGCTGCAATTAAAACTCCTTCAGTATCTCTAGTCCAATTCTCCGCTAAGGTTGTCAAGGTAACCGACCCTTGCCTGAAGTGTTCATCCATGCATGGTTTTATTATTTTGCTGAATGTGCATGATTCAAAAATTATTGATAACATTATTATAGTTCATGTTTTTAAATGACCCAAGTGGTGCCGTAAGAGTAGTATTGTGTTCTTGAGATTTGCTCAAATTGGTCCATCTAGTTCCAATCCACTGGTGCAGAGTACTTCATTGTGTGCATGTGTCCCTTTGTGGAACCATTTTAGTTAACCTTTATTATTTAAATAGTGCTATCGTAAACACTCTTGCAGTTGGTGATATTGGCAAATGTGTATTTCTAAGAACACAAGTAAAAGTGAAACAATTGGTTTGGGAGTTTTATATATCTCCAACTTTATAATGTACTACCAAATTTCTTTATGATGTGATTGTATTACTTTATATGCCTGTCAGCAATGCACGGAATTTGCAATGATTTCACATCCTCACAGATTCTTGCTTTATTCATACTTTACAAGTTTTTCTCAATTTCAGTGTGGGTTTCCTTTCTGGTGAAGTGTCTAACTTTTCTATTTAGATTTTAAAACATTTTCTTATTAACTGGGAGTATTTTATATATGCTTGTATTGCTCCTGTGTCACTTGTGTATGCTGCCTATCTGTCGTTTTGATATGAAGCTTGTCTCTTCCTTTGTAATACATCTTGACATCTGGTAAGACAAGTATTCCCAAGCCTTCCTTAAAACTGCTTTGATTTGCTTTTGTTCTTCAATAATTTTATATTAATCTTCTCAAGTTTTATGAATTATTCTGTCAGTATCTTTATTGGAATTTCATTATATTTGTAGATTAATTTGAAAAAAATTAGTGTCAAGATGCAATCTTCTCCTCTGCAGACATTCTATTTCTATCCGTTTCTTTAAATCTTTTTACCTATCTTTCAATGAGGCCTTATAATTTTTCTTAAGGAAGCTTAAGAACTGTGTTGATCATTTATTAAATTCATGAGTATTTAATAGCTTTTAGCTGAGACAATTAATGATGCTCCTTTGTAAAATCATATTTTCCAACTTCCTTCAGGTGGTTATAACTCAAATGATTCCCTTCTCAATTGTCATGCTTCATTTATGTGCATTTTTGCATACTGTGTCCCAGTACTGTGCTGGACGCTGGGATATAGACCTGAGAAAAATAGACAGGCTCTGTCATTATCCATTTAATTAGATAAAAACTAAAACAAATAAGATAAATACATAGCAGATAAGAAGCTGATAAATAAGTATCATATAGAAAAATAAACCAGAGAATGGCAATTTCAAGTTGTCAATTTTAAGTAGGGCAGATGACATAAGCCAGAGTAAAAAGTGACATTTGGGGCTTGGTGCCATGGCTCAGTGGCTAAAAGCCTTACTCACCTTGCATGCGTGGAGATGCCATAGGGAAGCTGGGTCATGTCCTAGCTGCTCCACTTCCCATCCAGCTTTCTGCTAGTGACCTGGGAAAACAGTAGAGGATGGTCCAAAGCTTTAAGACCCTGCACCCATGTGGGAGACCCGGAAGAAGCTCTTGGTTCATG